CGTGCCCACTGCCCTGGGGAGCCTGGGCAGTGCCCAACCACCCTCTGGGGGAGGAACCTTTCCCTAATGTCCAACCTGATCCTGTCCTGACACAACTCCAGCCCTTCCCTGGGTCCTGTCCCTGCTCACGGGGACCAGAGGTTGGAGCTGCCCCTCGGGAGGAGCTGCAGCCCCCGAGGAGTCTCTTTCAGTCTCCTCCAGCTGAACAAACCCAGTGCCCTCAGCTGCTCCTCCAGACCCTTCCCCATCCCTGTGTCCCTCCTTTGGACCCTCTCCAACAGCTTTAGATGTTTTTTTACCTGCCCAAAGTGCCCCCAGGACTGAGGTGAGGCCGCCCCAGCTCAGAGCAGAGCGGGACAATCCCCTCCCTGCCCTGCCCAGGGACACTGGGCCTGGTGCCCCCCAGGACATGGTGACCCTTTGTGCTGCCAGGGCCCTGCTGACTCATTTCCATGCTTCAGCAGTGTCTCAGAGCAGTGTCAGTGGAGTTGTTTCTCCATCTGTGCTTGGCGCCTTCTCCAGAGGCCACCAGATGGAAACAACAAATGGTGGTGGGAATGGCTGTGCCATTCTGTTCTGATAAAGTGCAGCTGTGACTCCAGAGCGAGGAACCACTCTCTGAAACGTTCCTTTACGTGCCAGCAGGTTTTGATGTGAATTGTTGTTGCTTTCCCAGCACGGTTCAGCCGGAGAGCAAACCAGAAGAAGCGTCTGCTCCGAAGGACGTGGCCAGCCAGGCTTCCCCCCCGGCCTCCCTGTCCCCTGTCAGTGCTGCAAAGCCCCCCAGGACAAACACCTCCTCACCTTCTGCTCAAGCCAGTGCAGCTCCTGCTCTGTCGACACAGGTAAGGCCCAGAGCAGGGGGTGAACCCCGGGAGCTTTTCGATGCAGGGGGTGAACCTGGGGAGCTTTTCGATGCTACCCCGGCGCTTTCTCTCCTCTCTCATCCGTGGTGTTGCTGCTGATGCCTGCTCAGCTGGTGCTTAGAAAAAAAATCCAGTTAGTTGGGGTGAGATAAGGAAAGGATTTAATAGTGCCAAGGCAAGAGATGTTACACGACGCGCGCCCCGGGCTGTGCCCGAGGTGTTACATTTATAACAATATCTGGCCAATCCCAAGTGTGACCACCCCATGGCTTTTGCTCTGGTCCACCCCCTGAATTGGGTCTGGGGTCTTTTTGGGACCCTCTCTTCATCATCCTTCATCATCTTTGGGGTACAGAGAGCAGAGTCACCCAGTTCTTTGACTCTGTCCTGCGGTTTAGGCCAAGATACGAGCGTTCCCCAAACAAGACAGGCTTTGCCTTGACTAAGAGACTAAACATTTTCTACTGGATACGGGGATAGGGTTGATATGGGGGGTATGGAATGGGGTAAGAGGCTTAAGGAATGTATAAACTAAGGGGTGCTAGGAGAGGAGGGAGAAAGGGTTGTTTCTAAAATCTACTTCTATTACCTATAAAACTTTATAAGGGTAGAAAAATAAGAAAACCACTGGGGTTTAAGGCATCACTGCTGTGCCTGGAAGGTGCTCTTGGCCTCTTGGCACCTAAACCTTGCTCTTCTTGGTCCCAAAGGAGCCTCGCAAGCTCAGCTACGCCGAGGTTTGCCAGAAACCCCCCAAGGAGCCGCCCCCCGTCCCCGTCCAGCCCCTGCGGGAACATCGCGCCAACATCGTCCCCCCTGCCAAGGCCGAGGAGGACGGACCGGCCGAGAGGGCTCCGGAGAAGGTTCCTCCTCCTGAGAAGGCCGAAGGTCGGATGAAGGATTACTCCGGGTTCCGTGGAGCTCCCAGGGGAGGAGCCGCCGGGAAAATCAGGGAACAGAGGCGCCAGTTTGGCCGCAGATCTTCGCCTCAGGGAGCCCCGCGGCGCGTGGGGAAGGAGCAGTTTGTGCCACCGCGGTCACCAAAGTAACGCCGGGCCATCCTAACCATCCCCTGGTTCATCGGAGCTGTTGGACTGAGAGGAGCAGCAGAGAACTGGGAAAAGGAGGAGGAAGGAAGGATTCGGGAAGGGGAATTCAGAGGGGGCGGGGCTCGGGCGGGGGAGGGGGTTTGGGAGGGCCCCAAAATAAATTTCTTAAAAAAAAAAAAACAAAACCAAGCGATCTCGCGAATGCTGGAGGATTCCAATCACTATAAATATAGAGATTATAATTTTTGTATTTTTTTTTTTGTTTTTAATTTGCAGAGAGGGGGTTTTTCCTGCTTGAAAAATCGGTTTTGGGGGCTTGTGAAAGTAAGAGTTCTGACAAAGAGAAAGGATCTGACTTGGACGAATTAACCTGTCCCTCGGCGCGGGAGGAAAAAAAAAAAAGGATAAGAGAATTATTATTTTTGAAAAAAAAAAAAAAAGAAATAATGAGCGTTTCTGTAAAATTAGAACTTCTTTTTTTTTTTTTTTAACCTATTTAACATTTGGCTTTGTGGGCTGGTGTGTGTGCCATGGATGGCCTTGCATTGCAGCCCCTCTGCAGCGGCGTGAGCGGAGCGAGTGCAGCCAGAGCTGGTCGTCATCACTTTTAGTCACTGATGATGAAAACTGAATGTACTACTGTAGTTAAACCTCGTGTTTCCAGCTTGAAGTAGAGTCTTCTTGACCTTACTAATGATTCATTCAGCGAGCTTTTTTAAAAAAGTGTCATTTTTGCAGGATTACCGGATTGTAGATGAGAGGGCGTGGACAGCAAAAGGTGTCTTTGGAGGCAGAAGGAGCACGTCAAGAGTTTTTAATTTGCCCTTTTTTCCTCGCCTCCTTTTGAGGGCAACTTCTTAGGTTTGGGGTTTTGTTTGTTTGCTTTTGTTTTTCCCCCCTTTCTTGTTACTTTCTCTGATTTCTTTATTTACAGGCTGTAGTGTGTTTTTCCTGAGGCAGGCCCAGCGGCTCCACAGTACCTCGTGTGTGGCTGCACAGGTAAAGAGCCTGGAATTCCGGCTGCAGATGTGGAATTCTGCCTTGGCAGGTGGGAACTCTGGGCACTCACCATCCTCTCTGGATGGCTGGCAGCAAACCAGAGCCGGGTTTTCTTTGTCCTGCCTCTGGAATGAGCTGTTTGGCCTCCAGAGATCAGGGTTTTTACGTCTGGGGAACTCGTTGTTTACAGCTGATGTGGTAGCAACTGACTCGTTGTAACTGTTTAAAAGTGGAGCTAAAGGTGAAGAGTTGAAACCCCCTCATGTTCAGAGAAGCTACTGGAAAGGTGGCACCTTGCCAGCTGTGTGCTGCCTGAATTTGCAACACTATTGTGCAGTAAGTGGTTAAAGTTTCAGGGTGATTAATGACCGAAATAGGAACATTCAGCTCATTAATCTGCCAAAATCAGCATGCCAGGGTTCAGAGTTCTGTAGAAAGCGTTAGGGAAAAGTAGCTTCCAGCAGTAAGAATCACATTTTTATTTTTTTCCTCCTTTTTTTTTTTTGGTCTTTATTTTTTTGGGTTTTTTTTTTTTGTTTTTAGTGAATAGCAAGTGTACAAATTTAAAGTCGTAAGTTGTGAACACTGGAAAAAACTTCAATTGTGATATATTCCGTAACCATCTTAGTAATATATGCTCGTGTTGCCATAGAATGAATGTAAGTGGCAGTTAAAATAACTGTGAAAATTTTTCATCTTCTGAGTTTCTTAGCCAGATAACCCTCGGCGACTTGGGCCTCAGTAGGAATTCTCTTATCAACTGCTTGGAGAACACTCATATCTATTTTTATAAATATATATATAAAGCCAGAGTTGTCATTTTCTCTAACTTATTATTCAGCTTGGCAATTGCTTTTGAGTTTGATTCATAACACAATATAATGTATTTATGCAGTTAACTGTTCATTTCTACGCATGGGATTATATTGTAGAACCATAGAATAGGCTGAGTTGGAAGGGACCCGTCAGGATCATTGAGTCCAACTCCTGGCCCTGCCCAGGAAACCCCCCCCAAAAATCCCACCATGTGCCTGAGAGCGTTGCCCAAACGCTTCTTGAAGTCAGACAGGCTTGGAGCTGTGCCCACTTCCCTGGGGAGCCTTTTCCAGTGCCCACCCACCCTCTGGGGGAAGAACCTTTTCCTGAGATCCCACCTAAAACCTCCTCCCACTCAGCTTCCTGCCGTTCCCTCCAGTCCTGTAGTGTGTATACATAACATATATATATATAAAAATATATATATAAAAAATACCAAAACCATTATTCACTTTCAAACTACCTGTACTGGGTTTGGGAGGTTTGTTGTTTTTTTGTTTTGTTTTTTTTTCTTTTTAATTTAGTAAAAAAAAAATAATCATTGATCACATCTACAGTTTAGGGATTCTTACAGACCCTTCTCCCTTTACTTTGGTGACACTGAGCTTGTTGGAATGAGAGAGGGAAGCTTTTAAAACATTTCGAGTGTCAAAGCTCTGAAATGCAACGAAGTGCAAAGTTTGATTGGTCTTTAAGGCTTTTAAACAATTCTTGCAGCCAAACTGGAACAAAGTGAACCTGTGGGATGGTCCCAGGTGTCTGGGGGAGATTGTGCCCTGTGGTTGGGAGGCTGATCCGAGCAGGAATTGTGTGGGATCTGCTGCAGATGGTGATCAGAATTCCCTGATCCATCTGCTGGAGGGACCTGGTGGTGCTGAGAGGACCTGGAGGGGGAAATGTGACTTGTGCACTGGTCAGAGGAGGGGAAAACCCAACCAGCTGCAGTTCAGTCCCTGTGAGGGATGGGAAGGGATGCTCTGGGTGTCCTGGGAGTGCATTTCCAGCAGCAGATCGTGGCTCTTTGTGCAGTGAATGCAAGTCAGGCTGTAACTTGGCTTTTTCCAGCACATCCCAGCTCCTCTCAGCTCGGGGCACTGCGAATTATTTATTTTGTACCTGGGTGCAGGGATTTCACAGGAGCCTTTCCCTTCCACCCTTTCCAGCTGTGGTTTGGGGTTTGGTTCCTTTCCTTTTTATCCTTTTCCATGCAGGGGGAAATTCCCAAGTGGACACAGAGGCTGTGAATCCGTGGTGGGGTGGGAAGTTGTGCACCAGGATTCAGGGACGGGCTGTTCCCTTTTCCTCCCCGGGCTGGGCTTGGGCTTGAGTCCCTCCCCACCAGTTTGCCTGTTGGACAGACTGGGGAAACTGGGACAAAGCAAAGGTTTGGAGCTGGATTTCGTGGGAGCTGGATCGTGGTGCCAGCAGAGCTCAAACTGTCCCTGTTTCCAGGGGGGGGACACTTGAGGTGACAACAGTTCTCAGAGGTTCCTTCTGGGTGGTTCCTGGGGGGGTGTAAAGGCAAATTGTCCTGCTCTGCTGATCTTAAAATACCAGGAGGTGCAAATCCCACCTGACTTTGCAGCTTTTAGGAGCTGTGACTTTGTTTTCAGAGTTTTGGTAGCAGCAGAAACACTTCCCAGTTCAGCTCTTTTCCAAATTACGTGGAAAAGACGGGGCCCCCCTCTCTTGTGCTTCTGCTGGGGAGTGAAATTCTTTTGCATGTGATAGATGAAAAAGTGCAAAAAAAAAAAAACGTTCTATTTCTTTGGATTTCTAACATTAAGTTAGTTTTATAGTATCTTACATTCCTGCTCTCGTCGTTTTCGTTCCGTTTCGTTTTGAATTAGCCTGGCACAGTTACCATGGTGCAGTTCTAGCTGTAGGTTTAAAATAAAAAAAAATTAAAAATACTAAAAAAAAAAAAAAAAATAAAGTAACCCACTTATTAACCAGAAGAGAAAGATGATACTGTGGCAGATCAGTAGCAAATAAGTGACTTAATCAATGCTTTACTGTAGTTAAATAGCTATGGCCTTACTTCTTTGTCGATATTCAGCTTAATTGTCTTGGAACTGTCCGCGATTTTTACTGTCCCCAGGTGGGTTCCCCTGGGCTGAGATATCTGGTATGTACAGATGATATTTTAAATTTGTAAAATGCACCCTTGTTATATTACAGACGATGCAACAGAAATGCACTTCGGGGGGAAAAAAACGGCTTCTGATGAGTTTTTTGTAAAATCCTTGATTACTACAGATATGCAATAGAGGTTTTTTTTTTTGTTTGTTTCTAATTTTGATATTTCCTTCTGAAACGTAAGATTGTTGCCATTAATCTGAATGATTTATCATGCTCTTCTTTGCGTGTATATATTACATATTAGTCTGAGCTTCCTTTAGGATGGTACATAATTTTGGGTTGTTGTAGTATTTTAGTTGGCTCTTCTCTTAAGTGCCTTTAGCTCAGGCACTTCAAGAGGTTCATTGAGTCTGTTTTTAATGTACAGAGTTGGGAGGACTTGAAATGGAGTTAAAGCAACTTATTTCTGAAAAAAAAAAATAAAAAAAATCCATCTGCAAACTAACCTGTAACAACTTTAAGATTTTATATTTAAGAACCAGAGGTTTATTTTTATGGAGCTTCAGTTATGGATACAGTTTCCAAAAAAAAAAGAAAAAAAAAAGCAACTTCAAATGTAAACAGACTGTGCATAAATGGGTTTTGTTCTAATTTTTATAGAATACAAAATATTCAGATAATATATTGAGCTCGAGTTATTACAGACATCTTGTTCCTCCCGGATGAATCCAGCTTCCCCTTGGCATTGACGATCTCTCTTCAAAGTGGTAGGAAAGGAGAAAAAAAGCGACTTTATCTGGCTTTTAGACTGTCTGTTCTGGTTTATTCCTGTTGTCAAAACTGTCCAAAACGAAATTTGTGTCAAGTAGGTTCATGCTTTAAATGTTCAAATGATAATACATGTATTTGTATTTGTTTTTGACATTGCCAAGGTGCTATGGGAAATTGAAATAACAGTTAGAAAAATAAAGCTGATTTAAAAGAGAAAAAAAAAACACCAAAAAAAAACCAAAAAAAAAAACCACCCTAAAACACAAATCCCTGAACTCTTAGTTGTGTGTGGGGAGGGGGGAATGGGGGGAACCCAGGGCTGGGATTGGGACCGCTGGGATGGGGACCGGGAATGGGAATGGGAATGGGAATGGGAACCAGGGGAGGGAGGGAATGGGGACCGGGAGCGGGAATGGGGACCGGGAGTGGCTCTGGGAC